GCTATCAAACAAATCGTATCATACGATAAACAATTAAAATATTAACATTCAAAACTGCGTGATTCTGAGTCAAAAAACAAGGAGTCACAAAAAAAGTGAACGAGTTGGAATCCAAATTAAAAAAAAAAAAATGTTATTTAAACCACGTCGTATCGGAGATGTCTTTAAAAAAGGAGCACTACGAGTCTATGGTAAATGACAAAAGTCGTATGCACGTAACGCGTATTCAGTTGGCTGAGATCAAAATTTTAGATATCATAATACAACAGTATCTGGACCACCCAAAAAAACAGTTCAAAGTTAATATGAAAAAATATTTAAGCTGGTTGTACAATACGAAGTAAAAGATTTTACAAATTTAATGTCCAAATGCTGTTGTGGTGTGGTTAATGTTCCGCAAATTACATCTAAACATGTATTACAGACGAATAAAACGCAAACGTCCTTTAAATTTCTCAACAAAACCAAATTGACAAAAAGTACCGATACGACATGGAATTATTCTGTCGCCAATCCAAGTATAGTACGAACCAAGCAAAATTATTATCTATTGAAGCGTTTCAGGCCCTGAATTTGATTTACAAAGACGATGCCGTGCCTGTTATCTCATTCGACAGATGGATACTAAAAAGATATTGACTAACACCATTTAGAACATTGTAAGAACCCATGTGAAGATATGGAACCTGAGTCTACCACTAGACGTAGCACTAACACGCGATAAACTATACGTACCAAAAAATCATACTTTAACTTTCACAAAATTTGAGTAGTCACAAATCAAAAAAATTAAGAAACCGCATCTAACGTCACCACATTATCTGTAAAAATATGCTAATCTGAAAATAAATAAATGTAAAAACATTGCTCGCGCAACATTTACAAGATATTGTATTGTTATATTGTGATTAACTTTACTACAAAATATTAATAACATTTTTAAATAAGATTTTAAAAATACATTGTATTAGAAGTTTAAACTTTTTTTTTTTTTAACAGGGTATTTTAAAAACACCTTTAAATTTTTTAAATGACTTTTATTTGCATACATATTATATGATATATGAAAATATTAATAATATTAATTATAATTAAGTGTGATTGAAACAAACAATAAACTATTATAAGAATATTTTTTATTATATTTGTTAAGTTATTTTAAAGGAGAAATTTTGGATTAAGATTAACCAATTGTCACATTTAAACGTCAACAATACAAACATTTGATGTTAGAATTAATAAATGGCTTCATATTATATTTGTTGAATAATCTTCCATTTTTTAACAATAATTATAAATTATATGGTTTTAAATTGTCTTTAAAAAGTTATGAGTGGCGTTATGACCTTCCTCTAAATTTTATAATTTATAACTGAGATCGAAGACCTAACCTAACTTAATATACCTTTGAAATGGCGATACCTAATCGTCTAAACCATTTTGTTAAATAGTAAATAATTTATATTTGATGTACCTATAGAAACAATAAAAAATAAAACAGTGATTATAAATAATATATTTTTGTTATTAGTTATTATGTATAATATTGAATATTTTTCGATGAACTATACTATGAATTTTGAGTACTACACAGTACACACATGTCTTATTTAGTGTTTTTATTTTATCGCATTTTAACGAATAATCTCGTTAGCACAAGCGTATAAAATTTATAAATTTATCACTATAAATATAACCTAGAATATATTATTGTTGAATTTTCATATGTGCAATTTAGTATTTTAACACGGATATTTGTATTATTTGATATACAATTTTTAAATATGTTTAATTTATATTTTATAATAATATACATATAAACTTGGGCGGGCATATATATCAATAATGATAAGTAATATTACATCTCACAAAATTTTATTATAAAAAATGGTGTTAATTATAATATTAACCAATTGTTGAATCTTAAATTGTGTTTGACAATCAAATAACGTAGGCAGCTGTTAAATATTTGTATAATTCGTTAAATTTTGAATGGTACATAGTTTTATAGTGATGATAATTAACAATGTAATGTTTAGAATAAAAAATAAAAAAAAATGTGTTAAAATGGTTATTAAAATTTATTATAAAAACTAATGTAAACGAAAACAGATTTATTTAAAATAGTATTCAATTAAGTATTTTTAAAGAAATAATTCATCAAATTATATGGTTTTGTTCAAACTTTTACAACAAAAAATGTAATTTTTCATTTATTGTTAGAACACTTAGAACCATTTTAAAAACTATAAAAAGAGAACAGTAATTATATATTAATTGCATTTAATTTTAAAAAGTTTTCATCCATACTTTAAAAGAATTATAGGTAATTCGAATTCACATGTATTTATAATAAATGTATAAAAAGTTAACATTATCGTATACAAATTTGTTTACTATAGAGTATAGAGCATGACCTTAATGAATAAAATACTTTATTTAATAGTATATGTATTAGGTCAAATCTGATTATTCGTTGTTATTTTTGAGAATAGTGTAAAAATTTTACCTACTTATATGAAATTTTTATGACTATAAATCAAAATTCAAATGAAAATTTTTGGTAATTTTATCTGTTAGTTTTATTTAAATTTTAAAAACGGACTTTCGAACACCTTTCTGTATTTACACTCCTTTTCTCTCTCTCTCTAAATATATATATATATATATATATAGATATTTATTTATTATATAATATATATGTATATTTATCTTCTGCGAGACTGAACTATCGTTAGATTATCAACAGATATGTAATTTTATAATCCTCTGCCATCTAACCATTCTAATATTTTAAGAACAATTTAGTACTCTAAAACCGTTACAAATACATATAAAATAAATATGAATGTGTGTTAGTATAATATATTTATTACTCTGATTATAAATGTACCTAACACACCCACCTCCCCTATATATATAAAGAAAATTATTTAAATTTTCAGCAGTATATTTTTAAATATGATGTTCACCCTTTTGATTCAAAAAGTTAATATTTTATTTATATTAAGTTGAGCAATAAATTATTTTTAAAAGGTTTATTTATTATTTTACGGAATACCTGCATAACACTAATGAAGGTTTACTGTATATTTAAGTTTGTTTTTTAAGTAATGTAAAAAGCTTATAAAAAAGGACAGAATAAATAATATCACCGTATATTATTTTTGTTAAAGAATTAATAATTTAGGAATTTATAAACAACGAATTTTATTTACCAAAAAATAAATGGTTACAATTCTTAATTATCTCATAATTTAAAAATTGTGATGATTTTAAAATGGGGCCGATTATATAAAATAAATGTTGGAATGATAGAAATTATAAATTTGATCATTTGGAACAATTTGATTACATCGATTAAAACAATATTAAGCAGTCCTACCTAAACACAAATTTAGTATATAAAATTAGAAAAAAAAAATGATATGTATAGGTGATTATTTGTTTTATGGATATAAAATCTATTATAATATTTAGTTAATATGATGTTTAATTTTAAAAACTTTATTTAGATGTTATATTCTACATGTCAGTTTTATATGTAAATTTTGTGATATTCATGCAATTAATTTATATTAAAAAGCAATTAAATTTCTATATTATTACCTATTTATTATCTAAGAGATATAAAATTTAAAAGGTATCGATCTAATTATAAGGTTTTAAAATATGTAATTCAATTGCAAAAAATGTATTCATTTTTTTATTATTTTATTAAATGCAACAAGTAAATGTATAAGCATTTCGTTATTTTATTCATCGATTCAATTTTAATATAAATACTACTATACACATAGCACAAATATACAACGCTTTTGATTAAAGGCTATAGTCACTTCGTGTTTGTGTTAAGAGTTTTAATTAAATTGAATATTAATAGTAAACAGAAACAGAATTTATTTTTTAACCATAATTTACCTCTTTTACTAATAAATTATAATTAATACTATAAATGCATGCTATAATAATATCAGATTATACTAGATAAATTAATTAATTTTTGTCGATGAAAGTTTAGACATATTAAACAATTTGGTTTATTATTTATAATTAAAAATTTGTAATCATAAGCTTTAGAAATATTATACCTAAATCACGTTTAACCTAAATTCTATAATTTATAAAAAAAAAGTTACATTGTAGAATATAGTATGTTGTATGTAAGTATAAAAGTACAACATATTTATTACGTATACCTATTATTATGTTCATTCGAGTGAGTTGAATATTGTACTGAGCAAGAGAAATTTAATATTGTCTTAAAAACGTTAAATTACAAGCTATATAGACTTTTCCTGTAATATAAGAATTTATACAAAGTTTATAAACATTATATATATATAAATATATGTATATACGTACGACATACGTGCGTAGAAACTGTCATAAATATGCCAAAGGTCATAGATTTATAAAAGAATATAATAAAAGAGCGGAAAAAACATTCTTAAAACTGTGAACATAAAGTTTTCTTAATGATTCTATCAGCTCACTATTATTTGAAACTTTTTATACAATAGTCACTGCATTACGCAGATCAAATTTAAAACAAGACAAACAACAATTTTATTTATTTGAAACGAATGTATGTTACACAAACATGTAATAAATACAACTTTGTAGAATGACTATGCAGTAGTAACAGTTAAGGCTACAGGTTCTGATTACTGGCTCTGCTCTTTTTTCGAAATCCCTGTGATTTTACAGCGGTGCTGTAATAATAACCGATTAAACATTCTGTAATATTTTTTATTTTATGTAATGATTATTGTTTGAGATAGATACTAGTCAATTTTATTTCACATTCCTAATTAAAAGTAATGCATAATAATATACTTAAATGCGGTGTGTCAGCAATCACTAATAACTAAATTGACATAAATGATAGTTTGGTAAAATATATTATTTGGTGTTTCAAAACTCAATTCTGTACATTGTATTAATAAATACTACTCAAATATTAATTTTGTTAATACAAATCTATTGATTTTTTTCAGGTGGATTTTTCAAGCCATGGCAATCAACAACAATATAATGGTCCGACTATTGGTTATAGAGATCACGTTTTTGATTTTAGCTGTCGTCAACTCATACCCGGCATTTGAAGACAACGAATTTAAGCATAAAAATAGAGACAAAGGGAGAACTATAAGAGGTTTCAAAAATATGGACTTATCTACAGCTAGAGGGTTTGGCAAACGAACCGACCATTACGCGAATTTAATACCATTGGATTTATTTGTGGACAACAAAGAAGATAGCTTCAATCAAAAGTAAGTTTTAGAATGCGTTTAATTTATGCGGGTATGAAAATTTATAATTAAGTAAAATTACGACAGTCATCGTTTGAATTGTACACGACAAAAATAAAAAAAATCACAAGAAAGCTCCTATAACGTTTGTTTATTTTTATGGTTACATAAAATTTGAACAATAATTCTTAGTTTTAATACCTAATGGAAAATTTGAAATAAATATATTTACAATAAATGTATATAAAAATTAAAGCATTTGAATTTTATTTCAGCGTAATTAAAATTAGCTATTTTAAGATGTTGATTATTTAACAAAAAATGAATAGTATAATATTTTAATTTCCTCAAGATATTTGGTATTTTTAATGATTTAATAGTTGAGATAAAGAATTTTGAACACAGCAAATGTATGTTTTCTTAGTTAGAAATTTTAAGCGAAAATACTTATATTATGAATAATCTTAGATTTTAAGTTATAGGTACCTATATAAGCTTATGTAAATTAGTTCGAAGCTCAATAATATATATATATTAGTAGTTACTTAGTATATTAAAAATAATATTTAAATAGTTATAAATATTCAACTATATGTACATTATTGAACAAAAAATAATTAACTTTCTAAAATTGATTATTTTATTGATATTACTACATCAAAATTATTTGAGTAGTAAGGGTCTTTAAACTAAATACATTTTGGAATTAAAATGAATAATATTTAATAACAGTTCAATTGTATAAACCAACAATAATAAATCAAAATAATCGACAACTCAAATACATAAAATAATAGTTACTTTCTACTTACTATCTATCCTGTAATATAATTATATAAAACAATATTAATTAATTTTGAAAACTTGAAATTGTTTAGTCTCTCCTTCCTTTTTCATATTGGGGGTTATCATTATAATACAATTGTCAAATAATAAATATATAGAACATATCATTTTTTTAATCAATTGATTCTTCTTGTAAATACATTTTTATAAATACGTAAATAAACATTTAGTAAAACTTAAATTAAAATTACTTTTTTTTTCCTCTTAACTGGTCTTTTATAAGGTCAAGAGTTTAATTATTTATAAGAAACTATCCATTAAAAATTATTCATTTGTTTCATAAAAAATATAAATATTAAATAATTATTAAAAAATTAAAAAATAATATTATTGTTTTAATAATTATTTGTATACTATAATTCCATGAAAAAAAATTACAATAAACGCTAACATGTCTACTAAAAAATTAACAAAAAGTTACGGAAAATCGAGAATTTTCAAAAGGCCATAATTTTAAATGAAATTTATTTGGTATATTTGTATAATTCAAAAAATGTTTACTATAAAAATTTCAATTTTTCATCAAATACTAAATTATCAATTTTTGGTAAAGTAAAACTATTAATAATTAAGATACATCAATTTTCTCCAGTGCTTTAAGTTTAGAATGTGCGTTTAATTATTTTTTTTTTTTTTAATACGAGAAACGAAAATTTGCGTTCACGTTCCTCATTTATAGAAAATTATTTGTTCCTTGTTTTATATTTCAAATGAAACGCATTTCAACCTTTGTTTCTATAAGAAGACAATGTTCCTTCCTAACACTGATTAAATAAATAGTAAACGGTATCGTTTGTTTTGTAACATGTTTCTAAGAGACATGGATAGTTTTTTTTTTCACTTTTTGTATCATACATTTTTTAGTGTAGTGCAGTGGTTACTCAATATAATTGTGTTGTTGGACTTCGCCTTGTTTATTTAAACACATTTTTTTAGATTGTAATTTTTTGTTAAATAAAATAATATAAAGTTTACTGCTACAAATTATTTATTAGTGTAATTATTTATTATCCACATTTAATAATTTCATTTACGTACTATACTACTGTGCCCATATTTGATTATATACAAAAATAAGCCTTAATAAATAACCTTAAATACAGTGTTGGTAATTAAAACCATAAAATTATTGTGATTTCTTCTTAAAAATTACTTATTAATTATTATGATTTATTGTACATCAACGTAATTCTTAAAAAAATTTCCGGTAACATTTTAATATACACCATTATTTTATCATGATTCAAAAAAAGAAATAGAAAATCCCACGGTTACGTGTCAGTATTTTAACGAATAGAAAATAAAAAATAACATTTTCTACTGGCGTATTTATTTTTTGGTCTGTGTGGATATCGGATCTCATGCTGTTTGTAAAGGTCTAAATGAAAGTTTGCTGAGAAAAATAGAAATGTGGTGCGAGTATATACAGAATGTAGTATTCCTGATATGTCCGGTCTGAAATATTATTTAATATTTGAAAAAAAATGGCGTAACCCACTGCAGTGTATCTATTGGTTCAGAATAATGGACTGTTTGGTACAGTCTATAATGCTACAGATTATAATAGACCCACGCACTGAAATATAACTGCATGAAACGCATTATATCTTCACATAGTGTTTTTTCTATTTTATTTACACAGATACCCGCACAGTTTTTGCCCCGAATTAAAATGAATCGTCCCGTTATTCTGCGCATAACAATTCTCGATTACCGTAACACGCTCACAGTGATAGAATATAATATATATGTCCGTTTTTTATTTGATGTTAGACTGTAGGTATCGCCGTTGTATAAGTGGGTTTTGCCAAAGAAACGGAGTGATATTTTGTTTAGAAAAATATTTCATGAAATAGTTGAGACATCATTTGTGTTCAAAATTAATTATTTTATTCAATATTAAAAACAATAACACAATGTACTTTAGGTTTATTGTTTATGAATTTATAACAAATATTTTTTTCATCTTTATAAATTTATAAACAAAAAATATACAACCTATGCAACACAAGTTGGGCATAAGCTTTAATTGATTGTATTTATAAAAATTATTATTATATTTTATGTTTAGAAATTGAAAAACATAATTTAATTATGAAATGTAAATAAACAGTGATATTATATACCTAATATAAAAATGTAACTTCGATTTATTAATTAATTCTTTATGTGAACTTGTTTTAAAAATGTATATAGTGTGTTGTCTTGAGTATATGATTACATTATTTTACATCTAAATCACATTGAAATATATTATATCTTTCAAAAACATATCCTTTTATAGCATACAATATAATCAATAATAATAATTAACTATTATTATAGTAAAATTAAAAAAATAAACTTAAACAAATAATAAAATAATACAAAAACACTTGTTTACAGTATACCGTTGGATGTTTCTTTGGACAAAATATTGAAGAAAAAATACAACAATTTTATCGAAATGCTAATCGATGTCAACCACGACGGTTATATTTCTAGAGAAGAATTGCTGCAGTCAATTGATGGCGAATCATAATAAAAAGTTATAAATAAATATAAATTATATATATATATTATTAAAGTCAGTTTCACTTACAAATAATTTCATTGTAAATGTCTTCAAAATTAAAAAAAAAGTATATAAATATATATATTAATGTAATTGTCATTGTAGCGAATTTGTTTCATTTAAGTGGAAATTTACGTAGGTACTTTAGTTTTATGATTGTAATAATAATCAACCACTATTTTATGTAGTAATACCTACAAAACATTGACGTTTCAAAAATTAAAATTGATACTCAGGATGAAAAACGGGATCTATATATACATAAAATATGTGATGGCTGTTAAAATATTGTTTATGCTTAAAAAATGCTAAAATATAAATATATATATGTATTCTGGAACTACTGTTTTTATACATCCCTATGTTCTTTTAGAATATGAAAAATCAGAAAGTGTACAAGTAAAGGCTGTGATAAAAATTTGTTAAATATCTTATTTATGTTATTAATTGATTTATAAAATAATTTCAGATGTTTAAAAGTTGAAAAAAAAGTAAATTGCTGGATAAGTTCAAAGTATATAATATAAAACAGTTAAATTTTTGTTATTTACGCTTCAAATGTACAAATATTATTTTTTTTTAAGTATGTTAGTATGTGTATAAAATAAAAAGTTAAATGTAGGTAAATAAAATAATAAGGTATAATAGAAGAGAGTTTGTAGTTACTTAATTGATATTTTAAAAGATCTACAAACATTATAACTAATATAATTATTAATTACATTTTAAATATTTCTATAGTAACAAAATTTACGAAAATTTACTTAAAATATTCCATTTTAAGTTTAAATGGTAACGATAGGTAGTATATATATTGTATGTTATTCTGAAAGTTTATTACATACTATATGTAACTTACTTTGCATTTTAATATTTCAATCATATTTTATGTAAACAAAAATTAAATATATACATCCTACAGTATAATATATGTAGTTATCGTATACTATACGCATATATATTAATTGTTTCTTAAATACATAACCATTGTGGGTGAGAAAAATATTAACAATATAAAATGATTCGAGTATTCATGATCAAATTTATAATATACAATTATTATTGAAATGAACATTGATGGATTATGGAGAAAAAAAACATCGCCCATTAATCATTTTTCAGTCGAATTGTTGAAATGTAAAACTTAAACACCACAGAGGTTTAAATATTTAAAATTAACTTATAAAATCTGTTTTAATAAATAATACAGTCACGTATCTTGTGAACTGTTGTGTCGAGTTATTTATAAAAACAAACTTACATTAACTGTAAATAATGTTTACAAAGAAAATTCAACGATATTATACACCAAGCTTTTAACACACGGAAATACGTAGAAAAAAGGTAATGAAAATTTGATATATTATTTTAAAATATTTTTAGTATAATTTTTAAATAAGCAAAAAAAAATAATTTTACAATTATATTTTCTATTCGTATAACATAGCTACACACATAACATTTCAGTTACATGCAAACTTTCAATAAAATATCGCTCAATACATTTAATCATTTCAATTTAAAAATGATTAATCTTATTCTTTTCAACAAAATAAAAAAAGTTAAATTATATAACGTAATTATACAAAACTGTTTAAATTTAAAATTCTAAACTCTAAACCAATTTATATTTTTAAATTTCACAACAGCTAATTTAGTATACAATCATATTTTTTTAGTGATTTAAATAACGTTTGTGTCTAAGGTCATTAGTTTAAATTATATTTGTAATATGCGTTTACCTTAAAATTAGTTGTATAATTTAGTTCCTTTCAGGAAGAATTAATAATATTTATTTTTGATTGAAGGTTCAGTTGAAGTTATCCGGTTGTCATGTTAAAGTCATTGAGCATATATAGTGATTTATAGATTTTTTTCTATTTGATTTATTAACTAATAAATACACATCATATACCTACATCAAATTATCAAAAGTCTTACTTTTATTTATAAATATAACAATACACTATTAACTTTTGTTTACTTTATTCAAATATTCGAAAATGTACATAAATATTATAGGTATAAATGTATAATACATTTATCGTGAACCTAAAATAGCGGACTATGAATGGTACGAATCTATTTATGTTTTAATTTATAAAACAATAAAAATAAAATTTATAGAAATATGAAAAAAATTATGACTTGATACTTTTAATTTAACATTATTTTTTATAGTAAGATAAAATTATTTAAATAAAGAAAGAAAATTTGATAAATTTTATAAATTTCTTCTAGAGAACGATCTTTTTATGAAATGAATAAAGCTTGTTCTATAATTTATTTTTAATTTTCTATTCTATTGGAACACACAAAATTTCTTTCATCGTGATTACATTAAAGGGTTTATTTGACACGTATATATTATAAAAAAGCATAGAGATAGGTGGCATGGTAATTTTAAAAAAAAAGTTCAACTCATGCAAGTATAATAGCTATTTCTGCTTTTAAGTTTAACGTTATTTTAAAAAAGTCTTATTAAATGAAAAAAATATTTAAGTTATGTAGTAATAGTTGTATGAACTTATATTATACAATTTTATGTATTCATCTAAAAAACAATTTTGTCATGTTAAACATTATTTTAAATTTTTTTTCATCAACTTATACACGTTTTACATGATTTACTGGTATTTCTTTTTTTTCTACCTACACAATATACTTAAATTTTAATTTTTGTTAATT